CTTTTATTTGACACTAAATAAAATTGGTATTCAACGGCAAATCGCACTTTAAACAACTACATAGTTTGTCCATCCGGTCAAGACTACGGCATAATTTTAAGATAAAACAAACTTGTAAAGTGAAATTCGATCTTAATTATGCCTCTGGTCTCATCCGGACGGACCTTCTACACCCAAAACCTTTTTCCAGCTCACTATGAGAGTCTTTTACAGGCGATTTGTTTAAAACTTTAAAAAAATAGTTGGTACGCATGCACAGCGCTGCAGGGCGCGCGCCAAGTAACAAGACGCGAACGATCCCCTTTTTCAGTTTGGGCGGGAATTATAAACTCTGTTGACAAAGCAAACAGGAAGCATGACTACATAGTTTGTTCATCTTGACGAGACTAGAGATATAATTAAGATGAAACTTCACTTTACAAATTTGTTTAATCTTAAAATTTCTTTTATTCTTCGTGTAATTGTGTAACGCGTATTTTATAACGCGTGTCGGTGCGGTCGGTAATCGGTCCGGTAATCGGTTGACCATTCTACGTTACTGTGCTCGAGTTTTTCCCCTTGTCCATGCTGGGTGACAAGAGGAAATTCAGCCGCGAACTTCTTTGTTCGCTATCTCGTCGGTGGTCCCGAAATTGCTCGCCGGATTGCCAAGTGTTCGTTGGGCAAGTAAGTGAGTGAGTAAATGAAAGTGGGAGCGAGTTGGTTGGTCGAATTCTATTTATTTGTTGGACGTTGACGTCTGTATGATCTTATACAGTGGAAGGCCGGTGGCTGACATCGGAATCGTACCGGAGCCTTTTTGATTTATAATGAATATGATGCTTCAATAAGTAAACATGGGCCGTCCTATGTTTCGCGAAAAATCTCTTCGGTCTAGCCAAAATGTCGGTGCGTCGTTTCATAGAATAACAGGTGCCGTGTATACGCGGTAAGAAATACACGGCTAGCAATACACTAGACGGTGCTCCGACTAGTCGCGGGGAGCGGGCGAGGTATTATGACTGCGAGCTCATGTGTCGGCCGGTTGTTGTTATGTGAAATTTTGGCTCTTTAAACTCGTTACTCGATGCAACGGTTTCGGACGTAGACTTTCGGAAGTATGGCTAGTCTCGCACACGAACGCTCCGGGGCGATTGCGATAATTGCGCCACGGGCCGAGGGCACGCGATATCGTCCCACTCGGCGAGTGGAGGCAGCGCGGCGCAAACGGCGGACGCGATGTTTGGGCAATATCGGCTCGGCGTGCTTTTGTTCCGTAGCGCGCAAAAGTCAGCTCGGGTCGCTAATAGTGAGCTCGGTACGGCGGTCTCCCGGTGCGGAATTATGACGCGCGGGCCGGGCGCATGCAACGTTGCACGTCCTGGTTTTCGGTGGATTTCGCGGGTTCAGTCGCTGGGTTTACACCCGGGGTGCACGCTTGCCCCGGTGTTCGCGGTTCTCCTTCCGGAGTCGAGGCGGCGAAGCCGAGAGTACTCGGCAGAGACGTCGAACGCACCACCTCGACTCGTACTACTCCCCGATTCCCTGACCGGTGGGTCTGAGTTTCGGGAAAGCCTGGCGGAAACGGCGAATACACCGTCTTGGAAAGGTGTAGATTCCGGTGCCCGGGAAAGACTTCCACGGGAGAAACGGCGAACTCATCACCTTCCTGCCGGAGGGAAGGACGGTCGTTTCTGGAGGTTGCGAATAGACGGCAGAGGCGGCGAACACACCATCTCGAGTTCTTAACCTGGGGATCGGGATCCGGAGCAACCTGTGATCTTTACGATCTGGCCGACTCCGGTGGAATCGCTGCTTTTCCACGGCGGAGCGGGGTTAAATACCGCTTCCGCCGTGTTTTCGCAGTGCCGTTGCTTAGCAACGGCACGATCTGCTGTTTATTACACATGTGATGACGTGTTATTATACACGTGCTTAATGCGTGTATTGTGTTGTTAAATTAATGTGGCTCAAAGTGTCGATAACGGCCCGACAGTTGGTTGGTCGGGCCGCGGGGGATTTGCCGCTGTGACGTATCGTCACAATTGAAAGTGATACGACAGTATACAAGTACGAAATAGTACAAGTGACATATGCATGTTTATTTTATGTAATATTGTATATAATAAGAAGCACAATGGCACATATATATTTTTTTATGCATTATAAAATCATTTTGAGCACGAGCGTGGCATGATAAACAACGCACCGATCTATTATGCTAGAAGTCCCGGATTCGATTCCTGGCAGAATCAGAAAATTTTTCATATGCTCGTAGTTTCTCTTCGGTGGTCTGACAAACCCCAAGAGTATTCATGCCAAGAAAACTTCTCTACAAAAATTTGCCGTTCGGAACCGGCATTTAAACTGTACGTCCCGTATACATGTGCATAATCTGCATACACATCACATGCACATGTGAAAGAGAAGTAGGCCCGGACCCGACTTTGGGCTGTAGCGCCATTAATGATGATAAAACCATTTTATTGCAAAACAAATAAACGCATACATAGATAAATAATTTTCCATTTTGAAAAATATTTTACATTAAATCACAATGTTGTCCTCTTCTTATACCAGGTGTAGAATTTTGAAACAGGAATTTTTTTGTAAAAATTACACGTCTGTTGTTTGAAAATGATAAAAAATATTTTATTCAAAATAATGTCCATTGCTATTTATACATTTTTCCCACCTCTCCGGCAGTTTATGAATGCCACGCCAAAAAAACATTTCTTCTTTTGAAGCGAACCAGCTATCGAGCCATTTTCGTACATTTTCATACGAATTGAAGCGTTGTTCAGCGAGAGCGTGTCCCATTGATACGAATAGACGATAATCGGACGGAGCCAAGTCTGGAGAATAAGCCGCATGCGTTAGTATTTCCCAACTGAACGCCTCGATCGTTTCCCTGACCCGTTTTGCTGTGTGTGATGGGGCATTATCATGGAGCAAAATGACTTTGTGTTGCCTTTTTCCATATTCCGGTTGTTATTCACGCAATGCTCGATTTAAATCGATCATTTGCTGTTGGTAGCGATCAGTGTTAACGGTTTCACCAGGTCTTAGCAGCTCATAATAGATTACACCCTTCTAATCCCACCAAACACAC